TGAGCTTTTATTTCAACGATCTTCCAAATTAGTAATTTTATTTTATCAACTGAGCTCTATTCATTTTATTCCTATCAGTGTTTAGTCACTACGTAGTCACCTGTTTCTGGCTGTTTGAACTGTTGCCACAATCAATGTTCTAGAATATTCTTTTACACAAGGCATATGCATACAATAGTCAGTCTATTAGATTTATTCAAATCCTTGCTATATTATACTAATGTGTCTTTAATATAACTTTCAACCAAACACTTTCATGTAAGTAATTTGATCCCACTATGTAATTATGATTTTTAAATATCACAGGTTTTAAGCAGCTGATGAGAACCAACTATATAAAATGAGTTAATGCTATTCTGCTAGAATCTTTGTTCTTGCTCTTTTCAAAATTGTTTTCCATATATTTATTAAGGCTAACAGTGTTGCGTTGAATAAAATAGTTTATTATTGCCAATATACCAGAAAAATTTACAAATTAAGCAAGGAAATATTCCTTCGTGGTTGAATTTTATAACAGATCTACAATCATCATCACGACTAAACAAGTGAATATTAAATAAACGTCAATTAAATAATTATCAGAATGAGGATTTATGGAGGTTGTAGTAATTTTATCAGTTGAATTCATGAGTTGATCTAAGCTAGTAACTGGCTCCAAGATGATTTCCTGAAGTTATATTGAGAAACTGAAACCAGTGGAGTTCAATCCGTGTTTGAGTAGAGATGGGTATCCACCTCATACGATTGATAAATGTCTGCGCAGTCGTTCATGGATCGATAGTAGTTAAATATTAAAACCGTTGAATGTCGGCTCAGTGGCTTAGATGTCAAGGATTTGCGCGCGAGACCAAAGGTCCTGGGTGTCCACTGCTGAGAAGCCTCATACTAAGATGAAACGGCCGTCCACTGCTTTCAATTTTTCAATATTGGTTTAACATCGATCGATTCATGATCCCAATCAGAACACTTTAAATACTCCTAAGCTGACTAAAAAAATTAACATTCGTAGCATTAGTTAGTTACCTTTCATTATATATTTAACATAAAGTGAAATATTCTATGTTAAGTCTATTATTGTTCAAAATTTAATTATCTGTAAAGAAATTGTAAACTCGTTATGTTACTATCATTATAACAACTGGATGAAATACATGAAGAATAAAAATTCAATAGTTGAGATCATGAGTTAATTGAAGCTAGACCATCATAGAAAACCTGGAAACATTGGACTCATGATTTCAACCATTGAAATTAATAGAATATTCACAAGTACCCCTTCTGTTGTTATTAAAAATTTAGTTCATTTATTTTTATAAAAATCAGCATTGAATAGATTGAAAATAAGTTTAAAGGTTAACTGTAGACAAACTTTTTATTGAATATTGAAGTAAATAACCGTTCATAATATGTTCTTAATTGAAACATAGAAAAAATAGTTGAAATATGGAATGGATACCGGCTCAGTGGTCCAGTAGTTTAAGCGTTCGTGCGCGAGACTGAAGATCCTGGGTTCGAATCCGGCAAGCGGGATCATGGATGGGCACTGCTGAATAGTCCCACAATAGGACGAAACGGCCGTCCAGTGTTTACAGGTTTCAAACGGTGATCTAACATCAATCGATTCATGATCTCAATCAAAAATATGGAGTGATTCAGAAAATGAATGGTTGAATAGAATCGTTACTTTTTATTATCATTATTATCAGATATACGTTTCAACCTGGCTATGAATACATCATCAGTGTTCATCCAAAGATTATTGAACAGCCTCTTTCAAATATTATGTTGAATATCGTGATCCAATAGTTACAATCAAAATAATTATATTTTTGTGTAAATCTAAAATTGTATCTTTGGTATGGGTGCCTGAAAGAAATCATCAAACCATCCATACAAAATTTATTATATAATTAAACCTATATTTACATAACCGATATCATTTACAATCAGTAAGCAAGAACCGTGTTGTGATTTTTCAGTAATTCAGAGAAAAACCCTGAACTAAACTTATTTGTTTCCAAAACATGTAAGTGAATAATTAAACAGCATCAAGTGAATACACTAATCTACTATTTTAATTATAATCCTTACGCTGAGTGAGTGATAGTGTTAACTAATAATTAATTGTACTACGTTTGTTGACAACAAAGGAACAAATAAAAAGTTGATATTCAGCGGGAATTTGGTACCTGTCAATAGTTGATTTACTCAATAAACATACAATTATGCAAAGCATGATAAATAACAAACCTTTTTTTAACTAAATTTATCAATCATTCGTTACTAATAAATGCTTCCATATTATAAGGACAAACCAAATGAGTTTTTATCTATTTCATTTGAAACTATTACTGATATACTCATATCTACACGAAAGATACATATTTATATAAGAAGTTACATCAACTTTCTTGTTAGTATCTTATAGGTATAGGTATCGTATTAATAATGGACAATAATTATGAAATAACTTGAAGATACTTTGTATATTATCTTCACAATCAAATAAGCACTGGAGATAAAACTTAAAATCAAGATTCTCTTTCTATTCATTCAATATAAATTAGGTTTAAATTAGAAATATTGTGACACATTTATTAAATAACGATATACTTTTCCCCATTTTTGGACTATACTTCTTTTAATGAATGCTACCATCAATGGAAAAGTAAATGTACAATGTTTTAAAAGTGCAATTCAGAGTATAAAAACCAAATACATTAATCATTAAACTACAACTACTTACGTCAGTATACAATATAATAATTTTTCCCTTTGGTTGATGAATACCACTTCTTTTATTCTAATATTAATAAACCAATTATTCAAGTGAATGAAAATAGTCTCTTTCAGTGACTTCCCCTTTCTATACTATCCTTGTTAATACTATTATCACTATGTTTTATTCTACTCCATTTTCTTCATCTCTTTTCTATCTCTCTAAATTTGTTCAGAATATTTATAGATGAATAATTTTCAATTATCTCGGGAAAAAAATGTTTTTTTCTTGTTCTTAACATTCTTCAACTGTTTTTGATTAAAGATACCCTAAGAATGTAACTAGTATCAACATTGGCAAATAAAAACTTACTCCATTTTCTTGAATTATATATATATATATATATATATATATATATATATATATGATGGTTGGCTGATTGGTTATGTTGTTCAATAAATGAAAAGTCGTTAAGTGGTATGGTGATCATTGAATACTTTTAATCTTATTCGTTTCTATAAAAATACACTGTACTATTTGCTTTTCTTTCAAAGTGTAAGTTGTTTCTTAACTTAGCTTTTGTTGCACTTAGTTGTATATGTTTTCAGTTATTGAAGCTTCTTAACTCCCCAGAGAATTGTAATGAATATTTCGTATGATATATGTATCAATATGTCTGCAATCAGTTGAAATAATACCCGAGTGTTATATCTGGTCATATGTAATCATCTGTGTCTACAATGCAAATGATAAGAAAATAACCATACAATTTACACAGGGATTTCGATTAACAATTGTCTATGAAATATTTTAAGAAATTGTACATTCTGTCAACATTATACGACAATGAACTATAGACTTTAGTTGATAGTTTTAAAGTTAGTGTCGCCATAAATCAAAATGGAAGAAAAATGGGTTTTTCTTATCTGCTCAAATGTTTTCTTCTTTTTTTTTGGGGGGGGGGGAACGATTGTCAATATTATAAACATAAATGCTGAATATTTGTCATAACTTAACAATAACTTAACGATGAAATTGTCCAACGGATTAAAACCGAATAAAGTTTATTATAAATTTAATCTTTTAGGTAAATATGACAAGTAGTGAATAAGTTTCATACTATAGATGGATTTATCCAGTAAATAAATAAATAACTAAACTAAAATAAACTATCATATATGTTGAAAGTAGAAAATGATTATCTTTTAGGAATTCCTTTTTATTATTCACATATTCATATAACTTTTCTAAATTCAATCATGGCAAGACTATAATTTATGGATGAATCAATCAAGTATAAAATAATAGGTCTTTGATTTTGACGCGAAAATCATTCATACATTTGTCTAAATAAAGTTCATGATGAAAACCCTAAATCTAATTTTTAACCTTAATCATCAACTATAAATTATGATTCTAATTCCTCACACTGGTTTATAATCCTTATTTGGTTATGGTTATTAGGGTGGACCCTTTCAAGGTCACTTCAGCGTTACCCAAAAGTCGTCCATAAATTATAGTCTCATCTCAGTCATTTGAATTACTCAAATATTTTTATAGTTTATTCAAAAATTCCAAACATTTTAGCATCACAATCTCTGCTTCTATGATGAATTCATAATGGTCAACATTTATCTTTGACAAAAATGACTGATATATCTGAATATAAACATGTATTCAATATATAAGCAAAGATGAATAGTGGCTAGCAATAAAATCCAGTTTGATGCCTATTTCGTCCTATTTGAAACTCATCAGCCGAAACGAAACTGTAAACAGAAAGTTTATCAAACTGAATAGCTATCAGTAATGTAAACATCCACTAGTATATTTTAGAAAATAATTAATATTACAAATGAACTTTTCTACTTCACAGTATTTTCAGCTTTATAATACCTGTCCAAAATAATTATTATCAATGATTGCAATTAAGCATTACCATTAAATAGTTTATAGAATAATATGGATTGCATAGCTAATGATGTATTCAACAATTATTTGTTTACTGGTGGTTTATCGCTAAATAAAGAATGAATAATTAGTATATAAAATGGATACCTCTCATTTAAAGTAACCATAATTAATTAATTAAGATCTTTAACATGAAGTATAAAATTTACTAAGGAAAATCATATAAATATCAGTTTATTAAAATGAACATTTAGAAAACAGGAAAGTACACTAGAAATGTCAAATATAATCCTATAAGTCAATATTACTGTTGACTATTAAAAAGTAGTACACTATTTATATATAGTTCAACTGTCGCCAGTGTATTAGTGGTAGAGTATATTTTCACTATGGTAATTCTAAGTTTACAAGGCAACGAGAAAATAACAAATAAATACTTTGAGACAATCCATATATTTATACATTTATTTACAAAATTAATTTTGTTTCAGTTGCCTACCAATTTGTTTCATAATTATGTTCCTTGATATCATTCTATTAGTGAACAAAAAAAAGAAGGAGAAAAAGAAGAAAAACACAACAAAAACAAAACAACAACTGGTAAGAAGATTTATTCAAATAAATGCATAAAACCATCAATATAACATTTATTGGTATCCGGTATAAGATTGAAATTAGTTTCTTCATAATTCTATAAATTAAAAAATGTATTGAATCTGATGATAATTCATATTTGAAAGGAAGAAAGAAAGAGAACAAAATCTATACATAAGCATAATACAATATGGTATAGAAAATGTAAAAATACATGAAATAAATATAAATATGCAAAGGTAATAATCTTGTCTCTAAAGATTTGCCAGTATTATCATTGAATGTATCATACAGTTCTTTTGGTTCAGTTTTAATGTCTAAAAATTATTTTTAAAAAAACATGATAAAAATGAGTAAATATATGAATTGAAAAATTAAAATTTTATAAAACACCTATTTTATATATTTACAATTGATTGGTCATTTGGTAATGATCAATGCTTAGATTGAATTCTATCGACCAAGTTGTGACGTGACCACTAGTCTAGGTGACTCGACATTATGTGCTTTGTGTTGAAATAAGATGATGATTAGAGGTAGTTTACAGGAAACCGTGGACTTAGGTTCCATGTAACTTGACATTCGTCAGTAAAGTGTACCTGTATTATTCCTGAGGGAATTGATGCTCTCTGATGGAGTTGATCCCGCGTCACCTTTCTAAACAGTCACAGACGTTACCACTGGGCTATCCGGGACGTGGATGTCCTCCTGTTAGACTGAGATTTATTCACGATTGATTGATCAGTGGGTGGTGATCAACGACACGTCAGTCGCGATCCGGATAGCGCAGTAGTAATGTCTCTGACTGTAAAGCTGGATGACACGGGATCAAATTTATCGGGGAGCAACAGTTCCCTTAACATTGCAGGTACACCTTGCTCATGAGTGCCGAATTGCATAACACCTACATCCAGGGTTTTTTGTCGACTACTTCCAATAATCATGTTATTTGTCTTATAAATGAATTATAGGAATTGTTGTTATTTACCAGCGAGCTATAAAATTTTCACTACACCTAAATAGTTTATATGTATGATTGTTGTTTTCAATCTCCTGTGGTTCTCGATGTTAAACTTTTAAAAGCAGCAGTATATATCGATTTTAGTCCTTGTTGATTTCAAAAGCAAGCGATACCTGAAGTCCGACTGATATAAATAAATCCATATAAGTCCTTGATACTACTCAGTGGTTCAGTTCTGTTAAAAGCAATCAAGATATATGCTTTATTTATTATTAGTCAGTTATGTATGATTATTCTCAGTTGAAAGATTTTAGATGAAATAATTTGTTTAATCTTACCTTATTTTCAGTGATACCACATCAGACAGCTTTTTGTCTTGAAAAACACTAAAATTGTTAAATATTTAATTAATAATGGATAGAAAAGAATCTTCATATAAATACTTTCAGCTTAAAATTCTGAGACAAATGTAAAACATAAAATAACTAAGCATAATAAACTATATAACAAGAACTTTCTTACTTGTTTTCTGTAAATCCAATGAACTCTCTTCTAATGATTCCAAGTTAGTTCCAGGAACTTTACGACAAGTCCAAATGCCTGAATTATTTTTTGTTAATCGTCCAATTTTCAATCTACTCATTTGTGTTGTTCGATTAATCCATTTGGTTTGTATATCCACGTATAATTCTTTTAATTTTAAATAATTGTCTAAATTTAAATGTTTTTTTATATTAGTAAATAACCTACTTTCTAATTTCGGATATATTCTATATCCATTATAATACCAATGAATAGATGATGTTGTAGTTGGATGATGAAATTGAACAAGACATGTTAAATGATGGTTTTGACCAGGATTATTAAAGATATGAACACCTAGATACCATTAACAATGAAAAACAACAGCATAATAATAATAATGAAAGAAGAGGTTGTGCAAAAATGGACGTATTGGATTTTTCTACTTTTTCTCTTTGCTAGCCGTAATTCAAACGCACTGAAATATGTCTTACCATTTCTTGAAATAATAATAATATCTTTAACCTTGGTATAAATAAAATGCTAAATGTAATGTTCAACCAAATGTTTTTAAGCCATTTACCTAAGAATCTGCTAAATTGTAAGATTTGAATACTTGATTTCTGTGGAATGCAATAACCTTGTAAACAATATGAAATCTCTTGTCGAGATTTTTTAAAAAGACTCCATTTTATAAGTTCATGGTAATCATTCTTTCTGAATATTATGGAAGTCAGTTAAATAATTACAGTAATGTTAAGATTCATAATGACGCGGTATTATTAATTAAATTTCTTATCAAAAAAGGTTAATCTGAACGATTTTCATTTTGAACTGTAGATTATTGTGTGATAAACTTCTTCACTAAGAAATCTCCTATCTAAGTATAATAGTGTTAATCTTCTGAAATGACTGAACATATTACTGTTTTCTTAGAAGATATATATGTACACATGGTTCCCTTTATTATCTTAAAGAGAGCAAGAACGATGATTGGTGCAGAATAATATGAATTCATTTTATTTCGTAAGGTTCTCATCAGCTGCTTACAACCTGAAATATTTGAAAATCAACGTGATTAACAAACAATCTAACTCCACCCTTTTGAAATTTGCAGAACCAAAAGCAATTAAACGTCTAAAACCAGATCTTTGTATACAAAAATAGACAGTAATAAATTTTTCTTTGCCCTGGTAACATTACCCCTCTTTTTTATTTTTTTTATTTTTATTTATTACGTCATTCATTATTTCAACTCTTTCTGAAGTTTAAATCACATCATTGTCATTTTTCTTTATTTCATAACTGACTGATCTCAGTTCACATCTCTCTTTATAACCACTGATATATTTCCAGTTGATTAATTATACAATTTTCTACTGTTTGTTAACTTCAAGAGTTCTAATCAATATTCCAATGTTCTGCAAGTTTCCCTGACAAACTTTATTTATAGGAAACAAAATTTTTATGACCTTATTAACTCTATTGAATTAGCAACAACCAACTGTGGGAAAGAACAAACTAGATCTCAGAGGAGGAAGAAATTAGGAAGAAGCGCTGGAAGTGGATAGGACACACATTGAGGAAAGCACCCAACTGCGTCACAAGACAAGCCGTCATATGGAATCCTCAAGACCAAAGGAAAAGAGGAAGACCAAAGAACACACTAATCCGGGAAATGGAGATAGACATGAGAAGAATGAACAAGAATTGGATGGAATTAGAAAAGAAGGATCAGGACAGAGTAGGCTGGAGAATGCTGGTCGGCGGCCTATGCTCCATTAGGAGTAACAGGCGTAAGTAAGTAAGTAACACTATTGAAGTCTTCGTTACATCATGATACACATATATTGATCTTTCATCACCCTCGTATGTATCAGTATGTCAATATCTGTATTAACGTTGATTTTCAAATATTTTAGGTTGTAAGCAGCTGATGAGAACCTAATGAATTATAATGAATTCATACTATTCTGCACTAATCTTCGTTCTTGCTCTCATTAAGATATATACGTGTAATTAAAAAAAGTAGCTTTTTTGTGTGAGATTCGTTGATTACTAACAAGGTTTGAAGAGGTTCAACTTCACTGTAAATATAATATTTTTTTGATGCTCATTAGAATTATGCTTTTAACAGCTAAAACACGATTTGTTCCGATCATCTTAAACATAGTTTTTTATAATATTGAAGTACTACTAGATCTTTTTAAACCATAGGTCAAAACGACAAGTTATTTATGGTTCCTGTCTTTTTATTTCTTTTAAAACGATAGCAGCTATGCTACAAACAATTTGCATGATGGTAAATTTTGGTTAACCCCTTTTGTTATTCACTTACTTAACAGACAATGTTATTAGAACAGTAACAATTTGCATATTTCTTTGTACCGTTATGATCACTAGATTACATGACAGAATCTAGATAAAATGGTGATTGCTTAGATATCACTCGATGATTCATCCTCCTCCCCATGTATATATGTACTAAAATCTGATTATTAGCTTTTGCTTTGGTTTGCTTTGCTATGCCCTCATGTGATTTGACTATAAATTTGTCTATGTAATTACTCGCATATACATATTCACCTCTGCTTCAAATACAAATTCGTTTGATGTGCTTATAATTTTGTGTTATTCATTATCCTCAAATAAATTGTAGTTGCCTCTTCATATTGTCTTCTAATTTCAAATACCGTTGAAATTTACATAATAACGATTACAAGAGTGATTGATTAATCAAAGTAAAACCACTACAAAACTTCTGATGAATAAAGCCTATCGTATTTTGCAACAACAAAACAACAACAAAAAAACTGATCGAAACAATTACAACAATTTCTTTACCTACCGATTATGCAAGTAAATTTATAAATTAGATTAACTTAATGAAGATTAATAACGTTATAATAATACAAATTACATGACTGATTTGTTAGTGTATTTAATAAAATAAATAAAATAACTTTGGTAATAATCTAAGTAGTATAGAAATAAATAAAAAAAACTGGTAAATAATATAAAGTTTTCATTATTGTATAAAGTAAGCATATTTAAAACCTTTAAAGTATAAAGTCTGTGTACAATATTGTGTTGTATTAATGTTACAATTTAATTTCAAATTAATTTTATTCACAGAAGGGTTTTGTGGATAATTTAGTAAGTTCAATAGTTGAATTTATGAGTCAATTGAAGCTAGACCACCATGGAAAACCTGGAAGCACTGGACGGCCGTTTCTTCCTATTACGGGACCCCTCAGCAATGTGCATCCACGATCTCACCCCCCACAAGTTTCGAACCCAGAACCTATCAGTTCAGTGCGCTTAACCATACTAGAACGAAACGGCCATCCAGTGCTTCCAGGTTTTCCGTGGTGGCTTAGCTTCAATTGAATCATGGTTTAAACTAATTTTATCCATTTGAATTATAGGTTAATGAATGGATTATGTGTGATGAAGTTATCTTTCATAAATGTAATTAGATATTAATATAAAATTTGATATAAGGAAAATACTTAAATCCTCGAAAAAATTTCATAATAGTTACGAATTAGTGAAGTGTAACTAAGTAATAAATAAAATCAAATCGATATGTTAATAATGGGTATGTGAAGATTGTTGAGTTTTTAATTAGGATCATGTTGCACCACTATTGAAAACCTGGAACTACTAAATAAACGTTTTGGGATTTCTTAATAATGCGTATCCATGATCCTATAGGTGAGATTCGAACCTAGAACCTTTGATCTCTTGTACAAACGATTAACTTTTAGACTACTGAGCTGGAATTCAACGGTGTTAATATACTTCCAAATTTTCAACAGTGATCTAATATTGATCAATTCATGATCTCAAACAACTAGATAGTTATTAAACAATACTTAATAATTTACTCTTTAGTAAAGATTTTATTTCTGTCTAAGAATAAACTAAACAAACTTAAACGTGTCCATAATTTCAATCAAGAATAACAATTTTATATAAATCATATCAATCTGGACTTAGTTAACAATATCAAAATGATATAAATCACCTCTGTCTTTATTTACCTTAATTCTGGACAAATCACAATAAATTTACTTAATCATTCATCAAATTATCATTATTCTCTTCTACTAATATCATACTGAATGTTTGTCTTGTTATTCAGTAAATCATTTAGATGATATTAGAGAATAATTTGAAGTGTATTCTTGAATGAAATTAATATTGTCTTACAAATTTATCTTTATAGTATCTTATTCTCAATCCAATATAAGAGTTTTAATATATATATATATACCTCTATCAATACTACTTATATAATCATTTAAATACTATATTATCTTATAACTTCATAAATTATAATTTCATTTTAATATTATTGGAAGTTTGTAATTGGAAAATGTAAACTAAACAATCTTAACTATTGTCGCTATTCACGTTATATTGTAATTTGATAATAATAATGTTTATATATAACCCTATTCAATAGTCCTTTTGAAGTGTTCTAAAGTTATGATTATTATTGTTATTTTAAAATTACTACTACTAATACTACTTAATTTCTTTTAGTTAAAATAGTTAAATGTTATTTTCTCTATAATTGACACAAGTAAATACCAATCTGTGATAATAATGTACAGAAGTACATAACTTGTAGTCCCATAATTGTTGTCTAATGATTTATACGTCTATTATTGAAGTATCTAATAGTTTCATATAATGAATGGTATCTTGGATTTTCAAAAAATGAATACAAAATTCATTGGATTTGAGTTCAGGTGATTATTTTTCTCCAATCATTTATCTTAAAACTAAAGGTTAATAAATTCACTTGATGTTGTTATACTGGTATCTTTTTATTGTTATTTAGGAATACAGTTGATAAGCCATTTGTTGGCGTATGTGCATCCTGTGCTGCTTGTCTCGATAATAGCTTAACTCTGAGATGCAGGTATATCCAGCTGACGAGTCCCAGGTAGGACGAAACGCGTGTCAAACTGGATTCCACTACTAGACACTATCTGTCTCTGCTTAAAAATCTTTTTACCTAAGGCTACATCGAGGCAATCCGCACAGGATGCACATATGCCATCAAGAAACTGAACAATTGCAATCCTAAATAACAATAAGAAGATACAATTAAAACAACACCAAGTGAACTTAAGCTTCACCACATCGTACAAGCAGGTGGCTATCAGGACTCAGTAGCTAAAGATAATGTGATGGCGTTTGAAGCGAACAGTACTGAGTCCGAGTCTCGGAGTGAACATCAACTCTGGGATGCAGGCATGTCTAGCTGACGAGTCCCAAACTGGACGAAACGCACATCAAACTAGATCCCACTGCTAGACACTACCCATCTTTACTAAAGGTTATTGCTTAGGTAATGTAGCTTACAAATTTTATATGTATCATTTGTAAAGGCTTTATGTTAACCATTATTGAAACACCATTTTTCAATAGAAAACATACTAAAGTTAAGTGATTTTCTATTTATACCTGATAATGGTTTCAATTTAGAAGTAAAATGTGCAATAACACTTTTTTGAAATCTTTATATCTACCTCCTTAGGTAAACATGAATGGTATTAATGCTACAGTGTTCGTTTATAGTATTTTACATGAATCTTAAATCTTAATAAAGATCTGTGACATAATCTGATTTCTAATACATCTTACGTTCGCCTCATTTAATTCACTGTGTAAATTATATTGAAACAAGCATGGCATATCATTAAAAATAAAAGTGAACAACAAGAAAATTTTCTATAAATTCTATCGTTACTAAACTCTACATTTTAAAGTTTTTAAACAATCACTATTGAAATAAAGCAAGATGGACGAGATTTGCATAACAGTATGAATTTTATATAATTCAAGGCTTCTCATCAATTAAGAACGGCCTGAATCTACAATAGTAACATTTTCATAACATCATGAACTGATCAATGATAGGCAACGATTGGAAACTCAGAAGCATAGGACGGCCGTTAAGTCCCAGTATAAGACTTCTCAGCAGGGCATATCCACAATCTTTTGCGTGATCGCTTAGTCTCTAGATAAAAAAACTGATATTCAAAAGAGTTAATGTCTAACTTAAGTCATTCCTTCCGTTGCTTCCACGTTTTAAATGGAGGTCTTACTTAGATTGGTATATAACTTTAATAAAATTTAACAATCTTAATAATCCCATACTGATAATACTAATATTGGAACATCATAAGAAACGAGAAAAGGGAACAATATATTTACCATAACAGATGAGACTGACTAGTTATTATATCAGAAGTTTTTGTGGACACTATAGTTGAGATCATGAGACAATTGATTCTATATCACTATTGAAAACCTGGAATCACTGAATATTAATCACTGATATTATTCAACATATGCTAACTAGTGACTGGCTTCAAGAGGTATTTCCTGGAGTTCTAATGAGAAGCCGTGACAAGTGGAGTTCAACCGGGTCTATTGTGAGATAGTAAGTTGCTGAAAGCAATGCTGGACGGTGGCTCAATTTGGCGGATTGGTTTAAGTTACACAGTAACATCGTTGGATACCGACTCAATGGTCTAAAGGCTAAGCATCCGCGCGTGAGACCGATAGATCCTGGTCTCGCATGGCAGGATCATGTATGCACATTTCTAAGGAGTCGTGTACTAGGACGAAACGGCTGTTCGATGGTTCCAGATTTCCCATGGTGATCTAGCTTCAATTGACTCATGATCTGAACTATTGAAATTAATATTTATATACTGAAGATAAAGTCATGCAAAGAAACGATGAGTGAATACTTTATATTTATAACAAAACTATAATCTGTTCATAGTTTCCTTGAAAAAATATCCAAAAGGTAACTTTAAAAACTTCCTTAGCTATTTTTGTAACCATTGTATTTAGTATGCCAAGTGTTAAGTGGACATATTATAATGCAGTACTAGAAAACAATCGGTATTTGAACATTTATTCAACATTCAACAGTGTGATCAGAAAAAAACAGAAAAATCAAGTTGAAAAAAATAAATCATCTTACTTTTTTGTTTACTTGATGCTCTCCATAATGTATTTTGTACTATTTCATCTTTGACATATTCATCATTTAATTTTGTCATATCCGGTTCATTCTTCTGAGCTAAATTTGTTTGTTTGTTTTTGGTTAAAGATTCATATATAGACAATTGGACCGGTCAGTTTGATTTTCAAGTGTCATAGGTGAACAGAAATAAATCCGATTAGCGTTTGATGCATAAATTGGAAAAAATAATAATAAACAGTATAAATACATAAACTAGGAAAATGTTTTTTATAAATTTCTGATTAGAACCAGTTTAACGTTGGTTCCAATGAGAATATCTTTTTTTCAAAAGTAACAAGATGTAGTCAAATCGAATTGTCTGTTGTATAAATTTAAATATTTGCAAGTTATAAACTTATCTGATTCTTCATTCTTCTTTACAAAGTCCGAACATAACTTAAACATTTACGTTTTTGATTAAGATAATGAACTGATTGATGTTAGACCACCACTAAAAATCTGGAAGCACTGGACAACCGTTTCGTCATAGTATGGGATTCCTGAAAAGTCCAAATCCACGATCCCACACGCAGCTTTCGAACCCAAGGACTTCGGTCGCACGCGCGAATACATAACCTCTAGGTCACTGAGTCGGCATCCAATAGTGTTGATGTCTAACTTCATTCAACCCACGAAATTGCGCAATCATCTTCCATTGCACTGAGGTAGATACCTATTTCCACCTTATTTGGATTAACTTCACTAGAACTCCGAGAATTCCCTCACGAAGCTAGTCACTAGTGAGCACACTGTGGAGGATTTTCATAATAGGATGAAACGGCCTCTCAGTTCTTCCAAGTTTTCAATGGTGGTCAGACATTCAGAATTCAATATATGTTTACCACCACTTTATTAGTTTTTACTAAGTTGTCTTATAATGATAACTGTTTCCACTTATAATATTATTAAAAAGCTTTAATTTTAAAGGTTTTGGTTATTCTATTTTTAAAGAAAAATTTGTTATAGCTTCATTTACGTTTCCTTAAAATAACATCAATCTTATCTTGATTATCATAAGGATGTGAGTACGTAAGATATTTGTCTTTTGTTTATACTCTCTAATCTCAGTCTTCTTGCACAAAAATTATATATATATACAATACAATATATATATATATATATATATATATATATATATATATATATATATATATATATATATATATATACAACATCACTATGTGCTTATCAAGTGTGTGAACAAAGTAAAATAATATAACATGTGATTACGTATATTTTATGCCTACAGTGGCTGTATAGAGTATGAATAAACTAATTTAGCAGCCATAAATATTAGACGTAATACTATGGTAAAATAAATCTTTCAAAAAAAGTAGTTGATAGACATGATAACATACCAATAACTTTGAGGTAGAAAAATTTCTCTTTTATGGTGGCTAGATTAATTTGACAAATATATGTTCCACTATCAGTTTCAGTAACATGAAAGATCATCAGTGTCCAAGATCCAGGATCGGTACGATCAATTTCATAACGAGGAAGTGATATTTCATTACCTACTGTTAGTGGTGTCGGCAAATCCTCTTTCCACCATGACATCTATAAAAATATTAACATTTTAATTAAACATCAGTTAGTGGTTAGTGGACATAAACAATAAAAAAGTTTTAAAACATGACATTTACAGTTAAGTAACTTTATGAGTGGTATATGCAAAATTTCATATTGAATTAGTTTAAACAAGATCATATTTTATTTTACTTATGCTGCAACTCAATATTTCTATGCCGGTAATTCATAGTTATCCATATAGAAAACATATAACCAACTTGAATGAATAGAAAAATTAAGTAATAATCTATTTCTAGTATGTAAAATATTTAATATCAAAAGAAATTTAAAGATAAATGAATAGAAGTCCTTTTCCTACAGTTGCTCAAGATGTCGCTTTTCAGTAGAATGTATCTTAACTCTTGTAAATACTGATATCAATATGACCCTCTATCACAGACATAGATAGTACTGTCTGAGTAGTTTGGCTATAGCTGACCTCTCTAAACCTGAGATGATCATACACATTAAACAATTAGCAAAGTAGTAGACTAAATTTGATCACCACTAATGACTTAGAAAACACGATTTAATGGTCACTTAGTGTAAAAGGTTTGTTTTTCTGAAAACGGAGAAACTACAAAATTAATCTTTTTCAAAATTATTTTTTACGAAATCAAATAAAAGATGGATATTCTAGAAAACTCTTATTCTTGTATGAATCTAATACCCCTTGGGAACAATATATTTTCTTAAGAAAACAATAATCATTTGTTTACATTTCGTTTACAACATTGTTAGTACTCATTCCTGGAAATTCCATCGAAGTGAATTTTGGTAATTAACGAATTCGGTTCCAAATGAAATACTGCAATTTATTGCGTTACTTCGGTTTTAGAACTGTTTATATGTAGTCAAACATATTGTTCTCAAAACACTCTATGTATAGGTAATAAACTTAATTATTTAGTTTAAAATATGGTGATGGGTTAAGTTATTTAGTTTTAGCATCAGTTTTTTTTTAACAGATTGTTGATTAACAATAATGAATCATTCTTTTACCAAGCAAAGAGGAATAGTGACTAGCATTTCGTCTTATTTGGGACTCGTCAGCTGGATGTACCTGTATTCTAGAGCTGATGCTCACTGTGGGACACAAACCCAGTAACGTCACAGAACGATACAAGCAAACAATACCAAATGAATTCTTACACTAAGTATATTAAATTACTTAAAATATTGTCTCATCATTAAATAGTTTTTCAAACACCAACAGTTTTAACAATTTTTGTTTGCCAAATTCCACTTATTATCACTTGAATTTGAGAAAAAGTTAACTTGGTGAATAAATATGATTTTTTTCCAAAAAATTAAAAAAACTATGTACACTTAATGAGGATTAAAAACATTTTGTCATTTGAATCATTTATTAGATAATTCAAAATATGACTAACATTTAAATAAATAAGCGATATTTTGCTTATTAACCTCTTTTCATTTCTAATCAAAATAGGAAAGAGAGTGAGAACAAAGATTAGTGAAGAATAATCTGAATTCATATTATTCTGTACCGATATTCAATTTTGCTCTCCATAAGATAATAGAGGGAACTATGTGTACAAAACAACTGTCAACCAACAATAAAGTCGGAATTTTTATTACAAAAGTCAAAACAGTTCTAATGTATGGAGCAGAAACTTTGGGATCTATGAAGATACAAGTGTTTATTAACAGTTGTCTACACAAAATACCTCGGATCCTTTAACCAGGCACTATTAGCAACAACAACCTACTGTGGGAGAAAACAAACCAGATCTCAGTGGAAGAAGAAATCAAGAAGAAGCGTTGGAAGTGGACAGGACAGATATTGAGGATAGCACCCAACTGTGTCACAAGGCAAGCCCTCACGTAGAATCCTCAAAGCCAAAGGAGAAGAGGAAAACAAGAGAACACATTACGCTGAGATGTGAAGACAGACAATGAGAAGAATGAACGAGAATTGTATAGAACTAGAAAAGAAAGCCCACTTTAGTGTGTGTTGGAGAATGCTTGTCGGTGGCCTATGCTCCATTGGGAGTAACAGGCACAAGTAAGTAAGTATGTATGTAAAATATGAAAGAATAAATTTTGAAATGATCTAATAATAAACAAATAAAGTTGCAATGGTTGAAATCATGAGTCAATTGAAGCTAAACCACCATGGAAAACCTGGAAGTACTGGAAGACTGCTTCGTCCCAGTATGGGACTCCTCAGCAGTGCGCATCCACGATCCCGCCCCCCGCGAGATTCAGACCCAGGAGATATCAACTCACTGAAGACAATGGTATGCAGTGGTGCAGCTTCGTGTATTGGTTGAAGTTAGACATTGACATAGTTGGATGGAGGCTCAGTGGTCTAATGGTTAGGCGCTCGCGCACGGGACTGATAGTTCTTGGGTTCGAATCATGCGGGGGGTGGGATCGTGGGTGTGCACTGCTGAAGAGTCCCATACTAGGACGAAACGGTCGTTCAGTGCTTCCAGGTTGTCCATGGTGGTCTAGCTTTAATCGACTCATGAATTCAACTATTGATATTACTAAAATCTCCACAAAACCCCTTCTGAAAATAAAATTGCATTAGATAGAAAACCAAAATAATTACTAGATCAAAAAACTTTACATTAACATAGCTTTACTATTCTTTATTTATTTATTCACTAGTTGATAACTAGTTAGGTTATATTCAATTTCTATTTTATTTAATCCTATTGAAGTTTTACATCTGTTTATATTCTGACTAAAACAACTTAATCCTCTCTTCTACCAAAAAAACAAACACAAATCTGGCTTATATATGTATAAAAGTATTTCAGTTACTTTATAAAATATCTGCTTATATTTAAATAAGAACACTTTAATTGTTTAATACAATCAGTTGATATGACACTAACTGGTAATAGACAAAAGAAAAAACGGAATGAAAGAGAATTAAAAGGGGAATTTATTTTAACTAATCTATTAAAAACTGCCTTAATAACTATATATATATATATATATATATATATATGAATTAAATACAATAACAATTTTAATCATAATACAGAAGGATGTATTTTAGTAAATAAACGAAATCAAAGTATCAGTATGAAGTTGTGGAGATTATTGAGTTTTTGATTAAGATCATGAATTGATTAAAGCTAGAACACTATTGAAAATCTTGAAGCACTGAACAGCCATTTCGTCTTAGTCTGGGATTCCGCAGAAGTCCAAATCTACGATCCTACACGCAGGTTTCGAACACATGACCTTCAGTTTTGCGTGCGAATACATAACCTCCAAACCACTGAGCCAGCATCCAATAGTGTCAATGTCTAACTTCATTCTATCCAAAAAATTGTGCCATTATCTTCCACTGTACTGAGGTAAATACCTATTTCTACCTGGATTAACTTCACTGGTCATGACTTCTCACTAGAACTCCGAGAATTCCCTCACGAAGCTAGTCACTAGTGAGCATATGTTAATTATTAGTATGGGATTGTGTAGTGTATTATATGATTTCTGGTATCCTATTTTCTATGCAATGGCTTGATCTATTTAAATTTAATATCATTTTGGAATTCATCAGTTACAAATAATGATTGACACTGACTGACATGAGTTTAAACGAAATTTGATTTTTATTTTATAGGTAATTTCAGGATTGCTTTTTTAGGATTCAGTACAGTATTCAGTGTTTCAACGTATTTAAAATACGTTTTCTTTTTTACATGAAAAATTTTCAAGTTATTTGAACATAACATTAAAAAAATATTTCTCTCTTATATTCACTTAGGAAGCATTACTTTTAACCAGGTCTATATCATGCAGTTTTAATCAAACAATGTATACTTGATGAGGTGTTGTATACCATTTCAATAAATAACCAACGTCATAAACAAGTGAACAATCAAACCTCTGACGAAACGTTTCATAGAAGACCAGTTGAACAATCATTACACATTATTTCTCAGTGAGATAGTAACTCAGTGATGACAATGGTGGATGTGTCGCTCAATTTCGTTGATTAGTTGAAGTTAGATTTTAACACCGTTGGATGCCGTCTCAGTGGTCTCGTGGTTAAGCGCTCGCGCGTGAAACTTATAAGTCCTGGGCTCGAATCTCGCGAGGCGGGTTGGTGGATGCGTACTGTCGAGGAGTCCCACAATAGGATGAAACGGTCGTTCAGTGCTTGCAGGTTTTCCATGATGGTCTAGCTTCAATTGACTCATTATCTCAACTATTGATATATATGAGATGCTTATTAGCAAATACATTTGGAATAGTAATTTTCTAATTAAACCTGTTTCTTTCAAAAGTAGAACAATTTAGAAGCCACCTATATGAATTTTATATATCATACAATATGAAATAATATAGATATTTCTTTTCATAGAAAATATTATTTAATTATTCTTCATGAGCAAGTAGTATTATGTCATGTGTGAAGCTATCTGAATAATTAAGTTTATTTTGACTAATAAAGATATTAGAATATTCGTCTGTACATGAAATGACCCAGTTTGACCTAAAGAAAAATAATAATAATATATGCAAGCAGAGCAGATGATTACATCCTTACCTTGTTGACTAATAAAACAATAATGTGTTTTTCACTTCATTTTATTTCTCTATATTAAAAGGAATATGTAATGTTATCATAAACATGATAATATTTAAGTGTTATTATGTAGAAGTGCTACTTATTCTAATTCATGACTTCATGAATATAGACTATCGTTTATATATTTATATCTGTATATATAATGATTATACTTATGTATATATGTATATACACTACAGAGATGTAATTAAGTTATGATATAGTATGTAAAGACTAATTATCTTATTAAATCAGGTCATTTCATATATATTATCATACTTCCTGTTTGATAATTATTTATCAGAATAATGCTGTTAATTAAATTGTAAGAAAATAATTTCCCTAATATTTCTAAAATAATATTTTTCTTTGTTTTATGTAACACCTTTAAATTAATTTAATTTTAATACTTGAATTCATGAGTCCATTGAAGCTAAACCACCACCGTGGAAAACCTCGAAGCACTGAACGGCCGTTTCATCCTAGTATAGGACTCCTTAGTAGTACGTATTCATGATACCACCTCGCGAGACTCAAACACAGAACCTATCAGTTTTGCGCGTGAACCCTTCATCTCTAGACCACTGAGCCGGCCGGCATCTAACAGCATTAATGTCTAACTTCAACCAATCCACGAAATCGCTCCACGTTCAACATTGTCTTCAGTGAGTTACTATCTCAAAACAGACCCAAATGAATTCCACTGGTCACTGCTTGTCACCAGAACTCCAGGAAAAAACTCTTGGAGATAGTCATTAGTGAACATATGATTACAATCAAAGAGGGACTTTGTGAATATCGCGCGAGGCGGGATCGTGAATGCGTACTGCTGAGCAGTTCCATACTATAACGAAATTACCGTCCAGTGCTTGCAGGTTTTCCATGGTGGTCTGGCTTCATTTGACTCATGAATTCAACTATTAGATTATTATAATACCCGAAAAATCCCTCTCTGATTATAAAGAAGTCAGTAAAAGTGAAAATTATATTTATAATAAGTTCAGTGATTGCAATTTAAAATAATCCCAATGTTTCGTCTAGCAAACTTATCTAGACTTCTTTAGGATAATAATCAAAATTATTAAATAAATATGTAGCAAACAAGAACAGCCTGAACCAAAAGGATGGTGTTCAACTAGCGACTAATTGGCAAATATTCGTTGACAAGTAATTAGACCGTTCTGTTTATTCAACCTGTTTGTTTCACTGGCATCGTTATTTTGACTGAAATTAATATGAGGTATTTTGACCAATACAATCATGTATTTGTTGATATTCATTTTACATACACATCAATGATTCAACAACAGTATTCAGTCATTTATTTTCACAACGTGAACTTTTCATATGATTCGCATTTAATCGACTCATATTATCCTATTTACTAGAAATCAACATCCAATTATGATTGGATTAACACAGCATAGATTTGATCTAATTTGATTGTTAAAACACTATATATTTTCCTTTGATGATTTTGATTCTGATTATCGTCCTGAAGAAGTCCAGATAAGTTAGCTGGATGAAACATTGGAATTATTTCAAATTTCAATCTCTGAGATTATTTCAAATATAATTTTCACATATTAAGCCAAACTATTTTTAATGATCAATCTGCAGGATTTTGAAATATCTTTAAATCTTACTTGAAGTTGGAACTTTCTTTTTGAATACTGTGTGCTAACAAGATATTGAAACATAATAAAGTTGTGGGCGAAACTCTAATGTATGGACGACCTTTGAACGAATTTTAAGTGACCTTGAGAAATATCAAGCAATCAGCAAACAGTCAGTATAGAGTAAAGATATGCTATACAAAACCGAGGAAATAAAGTGGATACACTTTTTATACGTAGTTCAAAAACTTGTTAAAGTTAGAAAGAGGTTCAGAGGTTCTAAAATCGTAATGCATTCAGTAAAGGAAATCATCCATACGGTTACAGAATAGTCGGCCTCTGGAGCCATCATAAAGTCTCAAAAACTCTTTCAGCCTCGACCATATAGCTTCAATATTGTTTATGTGCACTCCAGTTGTTGAGTGCTAAAATGCTACTTGTGGACAACGACACGATGCACATAACCAAGCCTATGTAGGAGTCTGTACGCTCTCCAAACATTCGTATATATTGTAGTGCCTGGCTGCAACCAGTGTTACTGGTGCTTTTATTATCCAGTTCGCGATACTTGTCGTAATTTGCCTTAATTAATTATATATGGGGTTTCTACCACGAACTGACATCAGCTATAATGCCAGAAATTTATTGGCCAAATGAATGAAAGACTTTCGTGCCAAAGTCCGAGATCTGTTATCCTATACCTGATTGATTAGTCCACAAATTATAGTCTCGCCGTTTTATTTTTTATAGCCGCTCAATTATCACGTTTTGTACCAAATTCCCTGTGAACCAATCGTACGTTATCATTAAGCACTGGAGTTGGCGCCGTAACCTTGAAACCTCTAAAACGCCTCTGATTGGCTCGTTCATAAATTAGAGTCTCGTCAAGTTGTTTTAGTCAATAAACCACGTAAAATATATAAACATTCATCTCAAAATTGAACATTTTTCTTTTAGTTTTAAGAATGAAAATATCAATAAAACATTCATTTACATTTGATTAGCTCAAACAATTGTGAATAAAGTTCATTTGTACTAAATGGATAGAATAAGTAACAAATATTATCCATGTTTTTCTTTCTAAAATATTGATTGCATTTATCTATTAACCAAGTAAAAATATAATAAAAATGTCGTTATATGACATCTATGTACTATTGTTATACGTCATATTCTGAAATATCAATAAAATATACCGTTTTTTCTTTTTGATAAATAAAACTATGTTTTCTGAAAACAATAAATTAAACACTAATTTATACTCTTTCACAACTGGGAAAAGATTCGTTGACACATTAAAAAACTACCCAAACGATACAGTTGTCATATACATAGATAATCTATTACAATGATTTTGATAGAGTTTTATTCTTTGAGCTGGATGGTTTGGTCGTGGAGCTTTCATTGTTCTTCTGAACGACATCATCAGCACAAACTTCAGATGTGTTCGAATTTCGTCATATGCGTTTCACAGTTTGTTCTGTACACCTCGATGTGGATTGGTTCTTATTGAATTTAAAATTGTCATTGTTTACTTCTTTGTTTTGGTTGTGTTTCCCATTGGTTTGACTTTTGTTCGCATATTTGTGCATGATTTTCCTGATTGGTTGATAAATTTAATTGATTTCAATATGCTTGTTGATTGCTGATTGACCTGAGTGCCAGGCTTCTGAAATTTCTCTGGTGTCTTTGGAATTTCCTCTGTCCAAGATTTCCACATGTTTCCAATCGAATGAAAGTGTTCATCCACCCCAGCTACAAATCTTCTCTACCATCTCAATCATAATGATTATTTATTGTTTTAACATGACTATAAAGTTGGATATCATTCAATCATTTAGTTACGAGATAAAATTTCAACCATTTGTTTCTCAGGTTTTGTTTCATTCATTATTACATATTTTTTTGCGATATTCTAGATAAAAATTCACGTTATGTATTATTGATCCGTTGGTTGATATTGTTGGCCATTATCAATCTTTTCATATTCAAATCTCCTAATAGAATTTATCTAATCGCTGAAAAATTCTCATCATATAAAAACATAATTAATATGAATCAAGAATATTCTTTTCAATAATTTCTCATCATGTTCCAAATTTAGAATACGTAAAATTGACCAGACTTAAGACAGAGTATATGATTGAAAATTGTAATATATGAATGAAGAATTGTTGTTTGTTATATAAAATCAAATCGTTAATTTCCTAAGTTAAAGCTTTGTATCCAAAAGAAATATGTTCAGTCGCTCCTTTTACCCTGGCCAACTAGTTAATAATCAATCTTATAATATAGTGACGTAATTTGACTAATGTTCATTTTTATGTCCCAAATTTATTATTATTATTACAGCAACCAACCCTATGTACTATATCTGATCTAATTCATCTTATTCTACATATTACGTAATTTCTGATTGGTGATTACATTATTCTCTCTCTCTCTCACTCTATGTTGACCATATTTAAACTGGTCATTATCTAATCATTATAATTAATGTTTCCTATTACAATATTTTTTTTAAAAAAAAGAGAATTAAATGTTGTCAAGACAATGAACTTACGACAGTTGAAGAAAAATCAATATTCTTTACTTTACAAGGAATTCTAGCTGTATTATTCATAATTGAAGTGATATATACAGATTGATTTGGATCAAAATATGGTTCATTTATATCATTTTTATTAGATAATAATGAAGATGATAATTTTTTTGTTATGATAGACTGTGAATTATGAGATTGTTTTAAATGATTTGTAAATATATTTGATAATGATTTTGTTTGTAATGATAAATTAGATTTATATGTACTAATATAGGGATTAGAATGTTTTTGTTTTTCTATTTGTTTATTATAGAAATGATTATTTTCAATTATGTAATCATTCGACTTTGTTGTAAATAATTGTTTATTACTTATATTCATGTAATCATTTATTGTTTTTATAGAACGTTTTTTATTATTCATTATATTTAATCTAGTTGGAATAGATTTATTACGAACAGGTTTATTATTAATAAATTCTAATGAATATTGTTTTTCTGTTAGATATGAATTATTGAATTGTTTTTCAGGTAATATAAATAGCATATAACATGTTATGATTGTTAGAATATAAAGATTTACACCCGTTGAACAGATCGCCATCCATATACAATTATTCGCATATAGAATGTCATGAAGAACTGATTGAAAAATACAACCGTCTATAGATAGGTAAAATAATTTTAAAAAGAAATTCAACAGGAAGAAATGATCAATAATAATAATAATTCAAATGATGTAATTGTACTAGTGGGGTGCTTCCTAGTTTAGAGAAGAAAAATCCCAGCCAAAATAGGATCTACGGATGAACTCATCACGACACCATCTATTTGTCTATAGATTTCATCATTGAATTTGAAATGTACATTCATAGTATATTTTGGTAGTAATTTTTCGTTTATAATGAGAATTGTTCATCGAATAATAATTCATTAAATAGTTATTATCATTATGCCAATTAAATGTGAGTAAATTAGTGGTAATTATATTTTATAGTCAAGTAAAATGTCTAAACTTCACCCGATAGATAGATTCGTAGAATGAAATAAAACATTCTGGCGAAGAAAACGGTATACTGATTTATAACTATCCCTTTTAATATGGCAATCCAATCATACTTGATTGAGAAACTGTGGAAGATGTGGAATCCCTCACGTACCTGGGGACCATCATTGATGAACAAAGAGGATCGGATACAGACGTAATGGCAAAGATTGGCATAGCAAGTAGAGCATTTTTTTACAATTGAAGAACATATAAAACTCAAAACAAATGTATGTCAACCAATATCAAAGTCACAATCTTCAAAACGAACGTCAAGACAGTTCCACTGTACGAAGCTAAAACTTCGAGAACTACTACAACCATCATCAAGAACGTACAAGTATTTATGAATAGTTGTTTGTGCAAGATACTTAATATCCATTGGCCGGATACCATCAACAACAGTCTTCTGTGGAAGAGAACAAAGCAGCTTCCAGCTGAGGAGGAAATTAAGAAAGGACGATGGAAGTGGATATGACATATATTACGGAAATTACCAGACAATCGCTAACTTGGAATCCTGAAGGGAGGCGGAAAAGAGGAAGGCTTAGGAAGAGATTACTTTGATATATAGAAGCAGACATTAAAAGTATGAATAGCGACTGGAAAAAGTTGCAAAAGATTGCCCAGGACAGGGTCAGATGGAGAGTGCTGGTAGGCGTTCATGCTCCTCTACGAGGAGTAAGAGGAGTAAGTAAATAAGTAATTTTTTAATATGTAAACAACTACTAGTATCAAAGAAATAAGTTTCAATCATATTCTGGTTGTTTGAGTAATATCACTATACATATATATTTGCTTTTCCTCGTAAAAATTTAGATTTATAACATAAATTCTTGCTTAGTGGATTGAATCAAAATTATTTCCGCAGTTTGGTGCCTAACTAACCTTTCAATAGTAAATAACTGGCAAAAACTTAATGAAAATTAGTCCTAACGTTCGAAGTAAAGACCGGTGTCAGGCAAGGTTGCTTACTCTCACCCTTTCTCATTCTCCTGATGATCGACTGAATTGTAAAGACATTTGGGGGCGAAGCATGGGATACAGTAGACAACTAGGACGCAACCGCACGATATAGACTTCACAGATGATCTGGCTCTTTTATCGCACACACAACAACAAATGCGTGAGAACACGACCAGTGTAGCAGCAGCCTCAGCCGCATTCGGTCTCAACATATACAAAGGGAAAGACAAGATCCTCCGATACAACACAGCATGAACCAATCCAATCACAATTGATGGAGAAGATTTGTAAGATGTAAGTCCTTTACACATTTGGGCAGCATAACTGATGAACACGGTGGATCTGATGTAGAAGTGAAGGCGCAAATCGGCAAAGCAAGATCAGCATATCTACAACTGAAGAACATCCGGAACTCAAAACAATTGTCAATCAACACCAAGGTCAGAACTTTCAATACAAATGTAAAGATAGTTCTACTGTATGGGGTGGAAACCTGGAGAACTACAAAGCCATCATCCAGAAGATACAAGTGTTTATTAACAGTTATCTATGCGAAATACTTCTGATCCGCTGACCAGACACTATTAGCAACAACAACCTACTGTGGGAGAAAACAAACCAGATCTCAGTGGAAGAAGAAATCAAGAAGAAGCGTTGGAAGTGGACAGGACACACATTGAGGAAAGCACCCAACTGTGTCACAAGGCAAGCCCTCACGTAGAATCCTCAAAGCCAAAGGAGAAGAGGAAAACCAGAGAACACATTACGCTGAGATGTGAAGACAGACAATGAGAAGAATGAACGAGAATTAGATAGAACTAGAAAAGAAAGCCCACTTTAGTGTGTGTTGGAGAATGCTTGTCGGTGGCCTATGCTCCATTGGGAGTAAGAGACATATTTAAGTAAGTAAGAAAGTAATCCGACCACATATTATCATATCTATACATGTGCATATATATATATATATATATATATATATATATATATATAACCAAATGTCCTCTGTATCTCTTCTTAGCCTATTTTAATAATTATATATATTCAGAATCTTTATTTAGATATATTGAAAAGATAATGTCAACCTACTTTTTTACTACTGAAAATACAATTGTTTGTTTGTTTGCTTGTTTTTTTTATAAAGAAACTATTATTGATAAAAATTAAATATTTTGTCACGTATTCAAATCCTATTCTGTCGAATAGTTGAAGCATATCAGAAACTTTATCACGTTCTATATTATTCAAGTAGAAAAGTGTCAAAAAGAAAAATTGTAAAAAAAACAAGGATTGTTTCGCATGATTTATGTAACTAATTTACTTTCAGATTTAATTTATAAAAATTAGATAAGAATACATTGGATAATTCACAATGTATAGAAATGTAGATAAGAAATATATCTAATAGTTATTATGTATTAGTAAAGCAAGCAAACAAACAAGCAAACACATAGTCTGATAGTAGTTTTATAGTCAAATAAGAACCAATGTTAAATTATATCATGAATTGTCAGAAAGAAACAATGAATTGATATGAAGAGAAATATAATTTCAATAGTTGAGATCATGAGTCAATTGAAACTAAACTACCATAGAGAATCTGAAAGCGCTGGACGAACGTTTCGTTTTATTATAGGACTCCTCAGCAATGAGCATCCACGATCCCACAAAGCGAGATTCCAGATTTTCCATGGTGGTCCAGCTTTAATTGACTCATAAATTCATCTACTAAATTAATTTAATTTAGTTAAAGATATCTACAACATAAAAGTTATCTCCAAAAGTAAGCATAAAATATAAACTTTACTATATCAGTTTTAATAATTGAAATCATGAGTCAGTTGAAGCTAGACCACATCGTACCATAAAATAGAAAATAACATTGTACAATATTGACCAGTAGGAAAACGACACGTGAAATAATGACCAATAAGGAAATGACACCATCTCAAGTCCAATGATAGCGTTAGACTTAACAGAATAATGTTCGGGATATTTTCCTGAATATCCCAACATTCCGTCATGAGTCAATTGAAGTTAGACCACCATGGAAAACCTGGCAGCACCGGACAGCCGTTTCGTCCTAGTATGAGACTCCGCAGCAGTGCACATCCACGATCCCGCACCCCGCGAGATTTGAACCCAGGACCTATCAGTCTCGCGCCAGGCGCTTAACCAACTAGACCACTGAGCCGGCATCCAACGGTGTCAACGTCTAACCCATTCTGACAAATATATTAATTAATTTATCCATAACAATCTACCCAATGGTGAATTTATTCGAAATTACCGAGTCAAACCTTTGTAATGACACCTATAAAAACTAAAATCGTAAAGTTTTCCATATATATGAACATCACAGCTAGAATATCCATTAAATCAAGTTTTAAACTTAATAGAACGTAAAACGGAATTGTTGTTTCGATCCCTATAAGACTTATGTTTCTTTCCGAAATGTAAATGTAAACTTAACAAAACTTTCTTCAAGTACATTAATGGTTAATTATATTTGCATATATTGATTTATTGAGTAAATCATTTGATTAGAAGGCATGAATTTCTGAAGAAAAGTTTCAATTTCGGTTAGATACTAGTTACAGCAAAATAAGATATAGTTCCGTAAATATAATTTGTTAGAGAATATAATTCATACTTTGAACAATTAGAAATTGCATTTAGACAGAATTTTTGACATTGTAAGTTTATATTTTAGTCAGAAAAATGTACGTAATATAGATGTAAAACGTAAAATTAATGAGTTACTCTATAGATCCTGGTACTGCTTAGTTAGTAGTCACTGGTCCGATCGACAATTCACTGTTCTCTAATTAGTGGTATCATTACGTTATACATTGATAAGACCACAAACTCACAAGTCATGACAAAAATATACTTCATTTTTCCAACTGACGTCAATTTAATCACAGTAACATCAATATTCATCTTAGTCGAGTTTGTTTTTCTAATCAATGCTTTTCATCACTCATCGTGTTACATTCACATTGTTTAATAACATGTTTAAACCTTTAAACATTTGAACACTCATGTAATTGGGTTCATTGCATACAATTTTTTTAACCATAATCATTATTGTTACACCAATTTTAATAACTACTATTATATCCATAATGATCATACTGATTTACATACATTTCTTGTACTGAATTACATCATGATCTCCCCATCGTTTATGGCACTAATCTAAAAACTATACTTGTATGAATAAGGAAAGTATTTATATTTATATTTTTGTTGCCAGAACAACGACTGTGTGTCCGTGCTGCACACAAAAAATACAGTTATGAAACATTTTATTTATTTAAAGTAAATCAGTGTATATATGGAAACATTTAGAGCACATAAAATAAAATGAATCCATTATATTCTACAAAGGATTATTTTTCATGCTTTACAAATGTTTAATAAGAGAACTAATTGCATGAAGAGAAAAAAAAGTATATTGACCGTTTATCCCAACATCAATAATGACAGACTATGTGAAAAACAGAAAAATGTTTGTCCTTGTTTTTTTTGTTTTTTTTTGTTTTGGATAAATCCTTGTGGAAACAAATCTTTAACTAAAAAGCTTTCAATGATATTCTTAAATGAATAAGCAAAAAATCAGGTCAAGTCAATATCCAACATTCAAAAGATA